TCTATCTATCTATCTATCTATCTATCTATCTATCTATCTATCTATCTATCATCTATCTATCGTATCTATCATCTATCTATCATCTATCTCTCTATCTCTCTATCTCTCTATCTCTCTCTCTCTCTCTCTATCTATCTATCGGATTGTTGGGGGCAATATGCTGACTCTGTAAACCGCTTAGAGAGGGTTGAAAGCCCTATGAAGCGGCATTTAAGTCTAACTGCTATTGCTATTGCTGAGGTTTGAAGCGCTGGACCCTCTCCATCCCTGCTCCCCCGCCCCTGAAAAGGGGTGTGTGAATCCGACTCTGAGACGTTGTGGGGTGCTGGGTGAATGGCAAACCTGGGGTGTGCAGGGGGGGAAGATTGTCTTGCTGCTGTTTCCTCTCAAGGCCCCTCCCTGGCTTTGCGTCACCGCCTTCACGCGAGGGTGGGGGTGGGGGGCTCAGTGTGCCGAAAACGGCCGGCAGCCTCTCTCCCCCCCTCCCTGCTCCATTACGGTATTGATCGGGGAGAGATTGCCGAAGGCAGAAGAGCAAGTGGCCGTGATGGTTGCCACTTAGCTTGACAGCTATCCAATAGCCTTGAGATCCTGATGTACGGTCCGGGGAGCCGGCCGGTTGGTCTCTCGGTTGTCGGGAAGCCGGGAGAAGGAAAAGTGGAGTGGGTGGGCAGGGGGTGGTGGTGGTGGTGGGGGTCGAGCTCAGGACCAAAACCTTTCCAACCTGTGCCAGGGAATTGTCCAGCGACGGTGTTCCTTCTCCCAAACAGGGTTACAGGGGAGTCCTCGCCTTACAGCCATGTGCTTAGCGACAGAGTCACGACGAGCGCCTGAAAAATGAGCGGGCCAACTGGTTGTCCCAAAGGGGTCCTCACACTTTGCAACTGGCGCAGCATCCCCAGGGTCACCTGGTCAAAAGTTGGGCACTTGGCAATTGGGGGGGGGGGGCTCATGCGATCACCATTCTTTCTTTCTGACCTTCCAGCCGTTTTGCGACAAGCAAAGTCAAAAGAGTCTCTAAATGAATGGTTGTTAAGTCGAGGACTACCTGTATCTGCAATTAGACCCTGTTATGCCACAGCTCAGTCTGTCATCCCTGCCTGCCTGCCTGCCTGCCTGCCTGCCTGCCTGCCTGCCTGCCTGCCTGCCTGCCTGCCTGCCTGCCTGCCTG